GGCTCTATTTCTTGACTTTGCTGGAGTCCACCTAGAGCTATGAACACCTTTATCCATTGCACAGATCCATTACTGGGAGGCTAGAGGAAGAAGCAAAAGAATGGCTAGCAGCCCTCCATAAGAGGAGAGTCCCCCAGCTGCAAGACATCAATGACTTCCTACAAGAGCTATAGCCAGATTTGAGGAGGCAAATACAAGCAAGGGGGTTCATCGAGCCAGCCAAGCCGTGGGTCACAACCCCAGTCCTATTTAAAGAAAAAAAAACATGGAACTATGAGATTATGTGTGGATTTTAGGGATATAAATTGTGTGTGTGTACACAACCTATACCCCGCCTTCTAAGGAAGGACATGCTGTCTCACCTAGCCAAGGAAAAAGTCTTTACCAAATTAGACCTCAGAGAAGCATACTACCGAGTCTGCATCAGGGAGGGAGACAAATGGAAAACAGTATTCAACTGCCCCCTAGGGGGCTTCCAATTCAAAGTAATGCCCTTCGGACCGCAGTGGCCCCAGCGGCGTTCATGCAGTTAATAAATGAGGTGCTGCATGACCACCTCTATAAGGGGTCCTTGTCTACTTGGGTGACATTCTCATCTACACTGAGATCATGAAGGACCACATACCTCTAGTCCACCTGGTACTGGAAAAACTTCTGGCGGCAAACCTGTATGTCAAGCTCTCAAAATGCAAATTTCACCCTAATCCTAGACTACCTGGGCTACCAAGTGTCAAATGAGGGCATAGAGATGGACTCAGTCAAAGTATAATCCATCCTAGGCTGGCAGCCCCTTCGCACCCACAGACAGCTACAAAACTTCCTAGGATTCACAAACTTTTACAGGCAATTCATCCCCTCCTTCACGAAGATTGCCAGACCCATGACAGACACCCTAAAGATGGGGGCCCAGGGATGAAGCCCCGCCCAGGACAACCCCTACAGTGGGACCTAACCTGCCAAAAGGCATTGGACACACTAAAAGAACTTTTTGCAAAGGAATCAGTGCTGAAACATCCTGACCCCAAACAACCCTTCATTATCCAAGCAGATGTCAGTGATGTGGCAGTGGAAGCAGTGCTACTCCAAAGAAATAGCCAAGGAAAATTACAGCACTGCGCTTACGCCTCCCATAAATTCACGGAGACAGAGAGGTGATGGGCCGCATGGGAAAAAGAGGCTTTTGCAGTAAGATGGGCACTGCTAACCTGCTGGAAGAGGGGGAGAAACTGTTTGAAATCTGAACTGACCACAAAAATCTGGAGGCCCTTATTGTCCAAACAAGTCTGCTGGACTCAATACTTCAACCAATTCAACTTTGTGCTAAAACACATCCCAGGGGGGAGGAATTTCCTAGCTGACACCTGCATGCCCCAGTACAAATGTGAACAGGAGGAGGTAGTAGATGCCATTATCCCCCCTACCCAAACAGCAGCCCAAGTGACTACTAGACAACAATGTTGTGATTGACTAGACTGACCTGCAAGCGATCTAACCACAAAATTCAAAACTGAACTGCAAGCAGATCCCTGGTTCTGTGACAACCAACATATCTTGACAAAAAGGGAGGATCTAGCATGGAAGCAGTGGTGTGTTGCTACCGGTTCTCCCCGGTTTGGACAAGCCAATAGCGGCGATGGTGAGGTGAGAATGAACCTGTTTGCTCCAACTGTCAGCTGGGCCCTCCTGCCCACCCTTTGCTATACCTACCTATATTTGTTCATTTTTAGCCCAGCTGATAGGCACGGCAGAGCGGATTGCCACGCCTCAGCTGTTCTGAAATGGAATGCACTTGCACCGAGCACAAGTTCGGCATGCATGCGAGCAAAGCAAATTGTGTGCGCAAAGCGAACCAGTGGTAACACAGGTTGAAACCCACCACTGCGTGGAAGGGGATGAAACTCTATGTCCCAGAGTCCCTACGCACCTTAATCCTCCCAGAATCCCTATGCGTCTTAATCCTCCAGAAGAGCCATGAGGTCAAATTAGTGGTTTCTAAAGACTTTACACTTAGCACGGAGGCAATTTTGGTGGCCCAGCATGAAGAAAGATGTGGACTGTTATATAAAAAGTTGCACTGTCTGTGCCACTATGAAAAAGTGATGAGGAAAACCCTCTGGACTGCTGCAACTGGTGGCAGAGCCAACGAGGCCATGGGAGGAAATCACAATGGACTTTATAGTGGAGTTGCCAAAAAGCGGGGGGATTGTGATTGACTTATTCTCCAAGCAGGCACACTTCATATCCTGCAGTGGACTCAGCTCACCAGCTACCCAAACTCTTCCTGTAGCACATCTACTCCCTGCATGGAGTTCCACAAAGAGTCATCTCAAACAGAGAGGTCCAGTTCATGGCTAAGTTCTGGAGGGAGTTCCTGCAGACCATTGAGTCATCCCAGGGCCTTAGCTCAGCTTTTCATCTGGCCACCAATTGGGGGGGCAGAACGTTTGAATGCCATGGTAGAGCAGTACCTGAGGTGTTACATGAACTATCAGCAGTCCAATTGGGTGGACCTCCTGCCTTTCTGAGGTCACATACAATAATGCTGTTCACAGTAGCATAGGACTAACTGTTCTGCCCCAGCTACGGGTCCCAAGAAGTGTAGCACACACACACAGCTCCAAAAACTCCATTTAATACAAACAGACCCCTTTCAAAATGCAGGCTTTAACCACCAATGTCCTTATCAGCCTCCTATGAATTACAGAGATTAAACAAAATCTGACAAGGGTTGGCAATCAGCCCAGAAACCAAGTTGTAACAAAAAACTCACTCTCAAAATGCTCTGCGTAGGACCAAACGTTGTTTCCAGCAACATTTGCTATCTGTGTGCGAACTTAAATAGGCTAAGGGAGTGGCCAATTAACCCCAAGCCTTACTCTCGAGGAGACCTCTTCCTGAGTAGCCACTCCTGCCTTTTGGCAGCCCTGCGTGCTCGAGCATTGAGAAGAGGCTCCTCCACTTCACTCTCTTCATTTGAAGAAGCCTCTGGAGGTTCTGAAGGCCCTGGCTGAATCTCTGCCTCTGGCACCACATCCTCTTCAGCCTCCTCGCTGTCCGACTCGAGTGCCGGCTGCACAGGCTGCTGGCACGACACCACACCAGCCTCGTCATCGGGATCAGCCACAATCCGCGCAGGCCGCTGGCGGGCCACAACACTAACTCTGTTCAAAGTAGTGAGCAGCATGGACTTCATCCCAATGCCAGAATATCCAAGGAATCCCCCCTCCTCAGTCAGCTTGACAGGACTGGCTGTCAGTGCTAAAAGCAGCATGGGAAAATGTCAAGAAAGTGCTAGCTAAAGTGGCACAGACCTTTAAGCAACAGGCAGACAAACACCGAGCCCCAAAACGGCCATTCCAGCTGGGGGAAAAGGTCTACCTCTCCACAAAATATTTGAGATTAAAACTCCCCAGCAAGAAGCTGGGACCCAAGTTCATGGGGCCATTCTCCATAGTGAAGATTATCAACCCAGTCATAGTGCAATTAAAATTGCCCCAACTGCTGGGGAAGATACACCTAGTATTCCATAGCAGCCTTTTAAAATCTGTGGTCGACTCGAGGAGGCCCAGGAGACAGCTTTAATACCTAATCAAGTGGAAGGGCTGCCCCCTATCAGAGGCATCTTGGGTAAAGAGCAGAAACATCCAAGCTGACCACCTCATAGCTAAATTCCATGAAGACAACCCAACAAAGCCTGGGGGGAGTGTCGCACCCTTGAAATCCTTACCTGTACTCAAACTGTTTTTGCTTTGCACAGGTTGCCTTCAGGAAATGAGGGAAGCTGAATGTCAATTCGCGAAGCATTCCTGACCTGCTCTTGAGTTGCCATAGGCAGGGCCTCACAGCTGCATTGAGGAACTTGCACTTCAGTCAAAACCAAGTACATTCCAACTGGCAAACATCAAGGCCATCTCCACAGAGATCCACAGTGGCCAGAGGGAGTGACTTCTACAACCAGCGAAATTGCTTCATTGGGGAATGTGACTGATGACACATCTTGGGAGGAGGGGGAAACAGGGTCAGACCCAAGTCGCAAATTAAGTAAGGTCAGAGTTGACCTCATTAAGTCCGCGCCGACATGGCGCTTCTAATAAATAACTGGATTTCTTTTGAAGCTTGGCTTGAGGCTCATGATTTAATTAGGGCATCAGTCAGAACCCTGATTTCATTGAGGGCAGCATCAGGGTTATGTTTGACCTTGGGGGGCTGGGGTGGCATGGCCAGGGTGGGAGTTGCCACCTTGACATCACTCGTGTTGGAGGCACCTGTGATGGCTTGAGTGCTCTGCCAGTGAAAACAGCCTCCTGCAACCGTCTGCCAGCAAAAATGGAGCTCGGGAGGGCAGCACAGCCCTCCCGAGCTCCATTTTCACTGGTAGAGGCACCGCAAGCCAATCCTTCGCTGCTTCCAGGGCAGTCCTATGAGCCAGATCTAAGCACCCCATGGGTCGGATACGGCCCACGGGCCTTGAGTTGGACACCCTTGCTCTAGAATAACTAACATTATTATCCTATTCCTAAAGCATTCTATACTTCACATACGCATACAGAGTTAACATAAATTACAAGAAATAATGCTTTAAGACTGTCAAGTTGTGCTGCATATTAAAGTCTCATAGACCTAACACAAAGCTTTGTAAGGAATGAACCTGGTAGATATCTAAATTTCATGATATATTATTTCTTCTGGACAACTTCCTTTAAGAAAATTCTGATATTCTATGGATCTGTTTACATACTAAACAGTCATAACCAGAAGCCTATTGGAAATGATATATGATAAATATTCCATTTAACTTTAAGCTTGGCTGAACTGCCTACATTTTCTCTTAATGTAACATCTATAAATGTTCATTGTGAACATTTGGTACCAAACTCATTAACAATAAAAGCACACTGTTTCAGTGGTGAAAACCTGAGATAATTGCATAGAAATGAAGGGTTGTACATACTGTAATATGGAACAATGAATATTATATATAAAAAAATATAAAGACTTACATTGACATTCCTTGCAGCACTTGCCATCAACATATCCAGGTGCAGAATTAGGAAGACAATCAAAAATCGGGCAGATCAATCTTTCACATTGGATAGAACCATTCTAAAAAACAAAAGCTTATTTTAAAAATCATTGCTAGAACCTAGTCTATTAATTTTCCAAATAAATAAAACTGGGCAGTTGAAGACACTTCTTTAAAACATATTATGTCTTATATACAACAGTAACTATGAAGGAGAAACACATTCTAAGGTGACTTAGATTTCTGATAAACCATTTCAATTATTCCTAAAGATGTTCCAATTCCTGTTATTTTCAATCAAGATGCTGTATTGTACTATAACTTGGAAGATTATTGACTATTATATTTCAGAATGATTTTTCATAAATCAAAGTCTTTCAAATTATGGTGTAACTTCCACAAATCAACTATTACCTCTATCTTATTTACTTCTGCATCTCTGCCTTTGCATTTCTCTAGTCTGTTTGTAAATTGCTAAGGAATAAGTATGCAGCTATAATTTATTTATTTATTTTATTTTATTTTATTTATTTAATTTATATACCGCCTTTCTCCCGAAGGACTCAGGGTGGTGAACAGTCATAATAAAAACAATGTACAAAAATAGAATTTAAGAGCAGATTAAAATAATTAAATCATGGGCCGAATTTAAAACTCCCATTTTAAAACCAATTTTAAAACCCCATTAAGACCAAATTAAAATCATTTATCCCATCAGAGCGGCTTGCTAGAATAACAGGGTCTTCACTGCACAACGAAGGCGCGGAGGTCAGGGATCCTTTGTATGTCTGGGGGTAATTCATTCCAGAGGGCAGGGGCCCCCACAGAGAAGGCTCTCCCCCTGGGGGTCACCAGTCTACATTGTTTGGCTGACAGCACCCTGAGGAAGCCCTCTCTGCGTGAGCATACCGATCGGTGGGAGGCAATCGGTGGCAGAATGCAGTCGTGTAGATAGCCAGGTCCTAAGCCATGGAGCACTTTAAAGATGGTAACCAACACCTTGAAGCGCACCCGGAAGACCACCAGTGCAGCTCGCGCAAGAGGGGTGTTACATGGGAGCGATGGGTCGCCCCCATTATTACTCACGCGGCCGCATTCTGGACCAGTTGGAGCCTCCGGGTGCTCCTCAAGGGGAGCCCCATGTAGAGAATGTTACAATAGTCCAGACGGGAAGTGACGAGGGCGTGAGTGACTGTGCGCAAGGCGTCCCAATCCAGAAGGGGCGCAACTGGGAAATCAGGCGAACCTGATAAAAAGCCCCCCTGGCCACGGCCGTCATATGATCATCCAAAGACAGCTGTGAGTCCAGGAGGACACCCAAGTTGAGAGCCCTCTCTGAGGGGGGTAAGATCTCATCCCCAATAGTCAGCGATGGTGTAAGCTGGCTATATCGGGATGCCAGGAACCACAGCCATTCAGTCTTGGAGCGGTTGAGTCTGAGCCTGTTCCTCCCCATCCAGATCCGCACGGCCTCCAGACAATGGGACATCATGTCAAGGGCATCATTGGGGTGGCCTGGGGTTGAAATGTACAACTGCGTGTCATCGGCATACAGTTGACACTTCACCCCAAAGCCACGGATGATCTCGCCCAGCGGCTTCACATAAATATTGAGCAGGAGGAACAAGAGAACCAATCCCTGCAGCACCCCACAAGTGAGGAACCTCGAGGTCGACCTCTGCCCTCCTGTCACAGACTGCGTACCGTCAGAGAGGAAGGACAACCACCGTAAAACGGTGCCCCCCACTCCCAACCCCTCTAGCCGATGCAGCATGATACCATGATCGATGGTATCAAAAGCCGCTGAGAGGTCTAGGAGGGCCAGAACAGAGGAGCAACCCCTGTCCCGAGCCCTCCAGAGATCATCAACCAATGCGATCAATGCCGTTTCCATGCTGTAACCCGCCATGAAGCCCGACTGGCACAAATCTAGATAGACAGCTTCATCCAGGAATCGAGGAAGTTGCCTCGCCACCACACTCTCGACAACCTTCGCCGCGAAGCAAAGGTTGGAGACAGGACGATAATTAGCTAAAACAGCCGGGTCCAGGGAAGGCTTCTTGAGGAGGGGCCTCACCACCGCCTCTTTCAGGGTGGCTGGGAAGATACCCTCACCCAGCGAAGCATTGTTAATCTCCTGAAACCAGCCTCGTGTAACCTCCCGGGAGGCCAGTACCAACCAGGAGGGACACGGGTCCAGTAAACATGTGGTAGCGTTAAGCCTCCCCAAAATCCTGTCCATGTCCTCAGGAGTCACAGGGTCAAACTCCTCCCAGATAACAGTCTCAAGACTTGCCTCCATCATCCCATCCGAAACTATCCAATCAGAGTCCAGGCCGTGCCGAATCTGAGCGATTTTATCATGCAGATACTGCCCAAAATCCTCAGCTCTACCCTGCAAGGGTTCCTCCCTTGCTCCCACCTGGAGTAGGGAGTGGGTCACCCTGAACAGGGCGGCTGGGCGGTTCTCTGCAGATGCAATAAGAGTGGAAAAATAGTTAGATTTCGCCACTCTTATTGCCACTAGGTAGGTCTGATATAAGACCTCACCAGTGTCCGGTCTGATTCGGCATGGCTGGTCCTCCAATCGCTCTCTAGGCATCTTTTCCGGAGCTTCATCTCTCTCAGCTCCTCAGAGAACCAAGGAGCCAATTGAGAATGGCACCGGGTCAGAGGCCGCAAAGGCGCGATGTGGTCCAAGGCTCCGGTGGCTGCCCTATCCCAGGCGGCCGCCAGCTCCTCAGCCGAGCCATGAGTCAGAGCCTCTGGGAATGGCCCAAGCTCCGTCAGGAACCTCTCAGGGTCCATCAGGCGCCTGGGATGGAACCACCTGGTCGGTTCCGTCTCCCTGCGGCGAGGGAGAGCAGTATGAAAGTCCAGCTGAAGGAGCGAATGATCTGTCCATGACAACGGCTTGATGACTAAATCCCCTACTGTGAGATCATTCAGCCACTGACCAGAGACAAAAATCAAGTCTAGCGTGTGTCCCCCTATGTTGGTAGGGTCATGAACTAACTGGGTCAGGTCCATGGCCATCATGGAAGCCATGAACTCCCGAGCTGCTTCCGACGTTTCACCGACGGATGGCAGGTTGAAATCCCCCATGACCATAAGCCTGGGGGTATCCACCGCCACCCCGGCTATTACATCGAGCAGCTCGGGCAGGGCAGCTGCCACGCGGCAGGGAGCCAGGTACGTGGTCAGCAAACCCATCTGCACCTCATGACCCCACTTCACAAAGAGGGACTCTCAGCCAGCTATCTGAGGAACAGTGGCCTCCCTTGGACTAAGACTTTCTTTAATAATCACCGCTACCCCTCTGCCCCTCCCCTGGGCCCTCAGCTGATGAAATGCGTGGAAGCCTGGTGGGCACATCTCCACGAGGGGTACCCCCCCTTGTGGCCCAGCCAGGTCTCCGTGATCCCAGCCAGGTCTGCACCCCCCTCTTGAACTAAATCATGAATGAGGGGGGCTTTATTAGTCGCAGACCTGGCATTGCACAACAACAACCGAAGACCCGGGCCCTGAGACTCTGCACAACCTGGAATACAAGAAGCACCTTGGGGGCCGGAGCACGCCACCGCTCACAGCCAGTGAGTGTGTACTCCCCGTACATGATACGGCCCCCTGCGCCCTCCATATCTGCCCTCCCACTCACTGTTTTGATGGAATGGCCCTTCATCTCATCCCTCGGTTCCCTATCTAACCCTCCTCCCTCTCTCCTCCCGCCATGACCCTCAGACCCACTCTGCCAGGTCCTTCCCACCCCTTCCTAAAACCCTGTAAAAACTTTGTATAAGTATTAATCAAAAATCCCCTCACTCTCCTTTTTGCTGCATGCTACCTCTCGGGGTTCCAAAACCCATCATCAAGGTAGGCCCTTGATAGAGTGGAGGGCCAAGCCTGCGAGAGGGGGGAGTCTCGCAGCCCAAGGAGTTCTGCAGTCGAATACATTTGTTACTGGGAGTAGTTATGGCTTATAACCAGGGGGTCAACCATGATGATTTAAGAGTCCAACGGAAAAGTATATAAGTCTTAGGTAGTATACATTGGAAAATGCCACTGCCTTCATGGTAGTGGGAGGAGTCCAAGAATAGTCCAGAAACGATGGAAATAATAGCCAAGGCTGACTCCCTCAATACTCATACCTAAGGTAAACTTCTCCTTTCGGTTAGGGAGGACAGATAGAGCAATGCCAATCCATAGGCCCAGAAGTATAAGTTGGTTTACAGAGTTAGTGCAGTGGGCGTATCAGGAGATGATCCAATGGAGAGTAGATGGAAAATGATGGTGGGATCCAGCTGAGACTGAAAATGGCCTGGATAGCGTGGGTCCATCATACGGGCTGAACCCGGCAGAAAAGGGGGGGAGCAATACAAAACATTTAGGGGGTAAACACCCCCATAGTCCTCTTCCGGTCCTCCACATTGCCCCCTAGGTCTTTCCCGGTCACAACGCTCACCCAGTTCAGCCTCCATCAGTTCACTGTGGGGCCTCTGGGCGTTAGTGGGCTGGTCACAAATGGCCACACACCTCACAGCCGCCCAGGTCAGTCGAAGATGATCAGGCTGGAATTAGTTCCTGCCATCTCCCTTGCAGCTTTCAGGCTGCCGCCGCTGCCTCTGCCAGCCAGCAGCCGCCATCACAGCCTCCTCCCTGGCTGGCACCATAACAGCTGCCAGCCTCTCCACCATCCTCCTCGTCTTTCCCAAGCCCCGCCAATACCTCCTGGGCACCCAGGACTCCGATGAGGCTCCAATGAGGGCTCCGACGAGAGCGCTGCACTGCCGCCATCACCTCCACTGCTGCTCAGGCGACTGCCAGCTGATTGCAAAGGCCGCCGCCGCAGCCATCCGGGCCGACAAGGCCCCCAAATGCCTCCTCTGCAACATCCGACTCCCTCTGGCCAGGAAGTGCTCCGGAGAGCTAAAAAGCTCTCAAAAGGTTGGCAATAGCCTCCGCTAGCCAGGTAGGGGCCATAGTTGTTTTGTCTGGCCCCCAAAGACCCCCTGTAGTCCAAATAACACCCCCTCGATGGTAGCGGACTCAGCAGGGAGCCGCCATCTTGAGCATGCGCTCAAGTTCTTATAAAGCATTTTTTAGATAAGAAGTCAACTAATAATTTGAAAAGATAAAGCACCAGCTCTAAAATGTAAATCTCTTGGAGAAAAGCAAGTAGAACAGAATGTAGACAAGAGTAGCCAGCCTCACCAATGGAATGTTTTAATAACATCATTGTGTAAATTTATTTGAAATACCCTGTTCTTAAATGATTAATAATTGCATAGTTCTGATAAAATCAAATATAATGAGCAAACTTCCTAATCTACTGAAGTGGGTATGTTCTACATGAACAATTAACATTCTTTACAACATTAAGACTGTTTCAGAAACACAAAGTAGAAAATCCCAATAATGGACGAATATCTCATGAAGTATTACATTGTGGTTAACATGTTTTAAACCAAAGATACATAAATGAAGCTACATTTCCTACAGAATAAAATACAATATAATTGATCCTAAAGTCACCTGCTATTTTCAATGTACTCCTTATATCAATTCTACTGAAATAAACCAAATTTGTTACACTTATCTCTTTGCTTTATTAACCTTTCATTCAACTTTCTTTGTTCTATAAGATTTAGTCATATTTTGATATATTCTGACCACAGATTGTATTATTCATTGTAACAGAGAAGATCAGGCTATTTCCTCAAGCATTTGGTTTAGAATGAGTTCCGTTCTGGTAATATTTAACAAATTTGAGTCCCTGTCGGCATTTTAATAATTATACCTTGTACCTAGTATTGTTACTTTGTCTTATTTTTGTTATTGGTTCTTTCAGTGTTACCCAAGTCATGTTGTGAATTGGGAACACATAGAAAGGCTACAAATAAACAAACATCAGCCACAGGGCGAACAGGCTGGAAAGGCAATACTTTTGCTTATCCTGATATTTTCCAACATTAAAATGTTATTGACAATTACAGCTCTATTTCATCAAAAGTATTTTAAAAGAGAAAGTACAACTTACATTATAATGTAAATAAAATATGTAAAAAGTTATACAGATTTATTTTGTTGTAGAAAACAAGACAGTATGCATATGATTTTATAACACTGGTTGGCCTAATTATGGAATCTGCAATTTTTTTATGGCCAGTCTGATTTCTTTTGCTTTTAAGTGATTTGGTTTGATAATTATTTTTTATCAAAATACATAAATATTTTTAATACATAATTAGGTCCTTGAATTTTTTTAAGTTTACACTCATACCATGCAAGTGCAGTTCTTACAGCCATCTGTCCAAGATTCAAATTCTCTGTAACTGATGCCCTTCATAGTGCAGGTTCTTTCACAATAGCACTGATCTAATTTATTCATCCTCTGCTCAGCTTGGGACAGCTAGATAGACGTTTCACAGAAAGAGATTTGTTAACTACAGAAAGATTTGCCCTCACAAATTAAGCTCACTATGTAATACATCTCAATTAGCAAAAGAATATTGCTAAATGTGAAAACAGACATTTTGATCCTAGCATGAAGCTAAAAGTGAAAGCATTTAAGGAAAGGTCGTAACTTCGTATGACCACTAATTCAAACATGCTGTATTTTCTCTTATGACAAGTACCTAATTCTACATTCAACACTTTAAATTTTGTAGCATGTCCAATTAACTATTAGGAGGGAGTAAAATTATTCTAAACCTTATTGTTTATATTTTAAGAATCAAATACCAATTTTGTGCCAATGTATTTTCTAACTTTTCAGGTGTACTATGTGTTTCCTATATTTCACACAATATTTTGAAAGAATATTATTTCTTCTTTATGGAATAATAATCAGAACCCCAACTAATTAACATAATTTACAGAGATAACTTTTATTAACTTGTTCTCTCTCGCTCTTTTATTACCTTTGCAGATGTTTTGGCTAAAATATCCTGCAACTCCATTATTTTCTGCACAAGACCATGGAAGTCATTACACGTTGGGCATGCTGAAATTACAAACACTGCATTGATCCCATTGCACTAAGCAAAAAATTGCAATCTTATATATCTTAAGAAAGCCGACTGAACTTAATACAAATAGCAACTCTATAGACATTCATAAGATTGTCCTTATGAAGGACAATCTACCCAGATTGAATTGAAGAGCAATACATTTTAACAACCAATCTTAGTGTATAAAAAAATTAAACCATCCATCATGCGGGATATTGTGGCATAAAATCTAGAGGACTTACTGCGATTAAGATCTGGGCACTGAGAGATAAATCCTTGAGGCATGATAAGAAATTGCACATCTTGCATTATGCCCTGTAGCAAAGTGATACAAGAACGTTTATATTCCTGGCAATATAATATCTCAAAAATATTCTATATAAAACTGTCACAGTTTTAGTATACTTTTTTGCACCTTCCTGTAAACAAAACATGGTTTTTATGAAATCATTATTTCTCTATTTTATTTACTGTAGTATTAGAGGTAGCAATGAATGCACAGAGCAATACATCTATGCATTCAGCAATTTTCAGAGATTTAAGATTAAATATCAAGGTGTTATTAATTAGAAAGAGACTGCTTGCTGTGAATTCAGTCACTTTTATTTAGTTGCCAAAGGAAAGGTTTCAAGTGACTTTAAAACCAATTTAGACATAATATGGAGTTTAACTGTTTTTTGAGACATTCATTAAAATAAAATATGGCAATATAAGACATAACTCCTGTAGGAAGTTAGCAGCCACCCCTCTCCTAGAAGAATGAAATATTCTAGGAAATATTTAAAAGGCAGAATATTATACCTTCCTGGATGAGAAAAGGAGAAATATGTTTTTGGAAAGCAGCCCCCACTTTTGTTAATAGCCCTGGAAAGACTGGTGCCACCCTATCTACAAGACAAAAGGCTGGGCCAGCTTATCTACAAAACAAAAAAACCTTCACCCTCAGGACATGATAGGATTAGCCCTCACTCAAGATCCAAACCAGGACAAAGCCATTAAGCCATAATAGTAATTGCCCAAAGCCCCTTCATTACATCATCCAGCAAGATTCAATCAAGCCTGGGACTCAAGACAACCTACAAAGTTACCCTGGCATGACCCCATGGGAGTCTGACAACCAATTAGAATACATTTCTTTCACAGGAACAGGAAGCAAGTTCAAAGCCCAAGAGAGGATAGATAGATGGATAGATGGATAGATGGATAGATAGATAGATAGATAGATAGATACATACATACATACATACATACATACATACATACATACATACATACATATCCCCCATGTCTCAATTGCCCAGGACCTCAAACCATGTGGTCCTGTCCGCCATTAAACCATCTTTCCAAACAGTCTCCATGGTCCAGTGTCTTTATCCCTACTTGGAACTGAACCCAGATGGACATTTCTTCCAACAATTTGGCACCCAAAAATGGGACTCCAAGCTAACTTGACCAACGGACCTGGCCCAGGTAAGCCTCCCTTGCTGGCAGCAGACCCATTGTGTCTGTGGGTGAGTTTTCCTGGACCTTGGCAATTTGGAACAAAGGTTTTAAGTTTTGAGTTTTGAGCTCAAAGGCTGCTTGGAAAGAAGGTGAGTACCTCCTGTGCGTATGCCTGTGTGTGTGTTATTGAGCAAAGTCCTGTGTTAGGAGGTGCCTGTACTGGACTGCTTAGGAAAAGCAGCAGGTCCTCCCAGACCCCGAGGTCTGAAAACTGACAGCTGTGTTAGGAGGTGCCCATACTCATCTGCATAGGGGGCAGCAGGTTCTCCTGGGCCCCTTTTGGGTCCGAAAACTGATGGATGTGTTCCCTGGAAAGGAGGTGCCTGTATTCTATGAGGGAACTATAGTCCTCCCAGACTTTTTTTTGGTCTGAAAACTATGGGTGTGGCTCTGCTAGTGAACCCCTCATCTGAGGGGGAACATGGGAGCTGTAGCTCGAGGGTAGTGACAGGAACCCCCTTAGGAGATTTAGGAAAAAGATGTGAGCAAATTGTGTAAAGAGTGGGCTTTGCTCAGGGACGAGATGAAGCTGGAAAACCAATTTAGCTAAATAAAGGTACTTAAAAGAAAAGAGAAATATATAAATAGGAATGTTGGGGGTTTTGTTTGTGCACACCATGTCTGCCCAGGGCAGTGATCACAAGGAGGCTGAAGACTGGGGGAGAACCCCATCCCCCAAAATCTTAATTGAGGCCCTCAATGCCTGGGTTGAGGAGAACATTGCTTCAAGCACCGCTGTCAAGCTAAGGTGGTCCATCAGTGTTTAGAAGATGGAATGCTGGAGTGGCAGAACCAAAGATGTCACCCTCACCTCTGGGAACCAATGACTTGGTTGGAAGCAGGAGATGGGAGACTGTTAGAACAATGATGAACTGGAAGGAGCCCCAGATTGGCCCAACCAACTCCTGAGGGAACCTCAGGGCCATGAACCTCATGAGGGAGGCCATCCATGGCATGTAGATCCAGGATGCCCAGGCTTGCACTGCAGGCTAATTAGGAGTACAAAAGGGGACTACCGAGGAATGAAAGGGATCCCCAACCCCAGAGGCATTGGCTGAAACCGTGGGGGCTACTGATGAACCCATTTCCACCATGGAAGATTCACCCAGAAGACATCTCAACACAAAGCAAAGCTTGTGACTTGACGAGAGGAAGCTTCCACCTTTAGAATGGAAGGGGCGCCCTTTTGGCATCAAATTCGATGGGAATTCCCAGCAACTGGGATTTTCCCCCACACATGTACTGACCTATATGCAGGAATATGGGATGGATCTCCCTACAGAAGGCGCCAAATTCAGGGTTGTCACCCTGGCTCTAGAAGAATCAGCTGCACATTGGATGGTGAGCCTCCATAATGCAGATGCACCAGAGCTCTGCAACTTCAACCATTCCATGACAGCCCTGAGACAGAGATTTGAGGACCCCTAGCCGACCGCAAGGCTAAAGACCACATAAGGCACATCAGACAGGGACACCATCCAGTCACCAAATACATTGAAGAGTTTCATGATCTGACTTGCCACGGAGATTGGCCAGAGGAAATACTTGTGAGTTAGTTCAAAGATGGCTTAAATGATGACCTGCACAATGCCTGCATTTCCCGTGGAGCCCTAGTCCACCTGCACAGCTGGTGTGTCTTGGCTGAGGAAGCGGAAATCAACCAAGCTCGAAACTAGTACCATGCAAACCGCTCCTGGAAGAGATCCCCACTGGAAGGGAGAAGGGAGGAAACCAAACCTCACTCTGCCCCACCACACTCAGCCACCTGCTTCCGTTGCAGGAAGGAAGGTCACTGTGCAAACAAGTGCTGTGTGAGAATGTCCACCTGAAAGGGGGAGAAGCAGGTTGGAGGGAAATCATCAAAGCCACCACCACGTTCCAAAGATATCACCCTGTAGTCTAGGAAGTTAATTGAAACTGAACAGAGATGGGCAATATGGAAAAAGGAGTTAGGTGGGCACTCCTAACTTGGAGACATTTCTTGGAAGGAAGTAAAATACTTTTCCAAGTATGGACCAACCACAAGAACCTGGAACACTCAAAGCCCCACAGAAAATGTCTCCAAAACAAGTCCGGTGGGCACAGTACTTCCAATGCTTTAATTTCCCTTTGAAGTATTTACCGAGTGGGAAAAACTTTTTGGCAGATGCCTTGTCCAGACCACCACAATACAAGTGTTAATGCGGAAGTAATTAATCCCATGATCCTAACCTCCCAATTAGCAGCTAAGGTTGTCACATGCTCTCAGGTGAAGAATGACCCCTTCACCTTAGACAATGTCACCACCACAGATTTCAAAAAAGCCTTTAAAATGGTTGAGTTGTTTAGTGCCAATAAACATACTTGCATAATAAAAGAGGGATTAGTTTGGGTTGGAAATAAACTGTATGTCCCAGCTAGGTAAAGTCTGCGAACTATGCAAGCTTGTCACAACTCCAAATTAGCTAGTCACTTTGGTTTTGTAAAAACATTACTGAACATTACTTTACTGAAATGGCAATTCTGGTAGCCCTCATTAAAAAAAAGGACATAGAAGTTATGTAGCAAGCTGCCCCATTTGCCCTGTGGCTAAACGCAGGCAGGGGAAAATCCCCGTTCTACTGCAGCCAGTGGCCGACCCTTCAGCACCATGGAGAAAGCTCTCCAAGGATTTCATTGGTGAATTGTCCAATAGTTCTGGAAACACAGTGATCTGGGTTGTCACAGATCTTTTCTCAAAAAAAGGTTTCATCCCATGCCAAAAGAGCCCTACGGTTAAAGCCTTGGCTAAATTGTTTTTGGTCCACATTTGCCGCTTGCATGGGGCCCCACGATGTATTATTTTGGACAGAGGGGTCCAATTCATGTCCAAGTTCTGGAAAGCTTTTTTGAATCTACTTGGGACTGAGCAGGGACTTAGTTCTTTTTTCTTTTCTTTTTTTCAAAATATTTTTTATTTTTTTCCAACATAAAACATAAAATATATCTCTTTCAAGAGCGAAGTCTCGATCCGGTCATAGATAGGTACAATCGCTTAATTTTTTTAAAAAAAAGCTCCATTCACAATTTTCCATTACATCTTTTAAATTTAAAAATCAAAACATAAAATTTTTTTAAGATAAATTCTAGTGTCTTGATCAGAACCATTCTATTATATCACCACCAATTTAATTTTCAAATACAAAATGGGCATTGTTATGCCCATTTATAAATTCAATTATTTCTGGTTCTTTTCCAAGCTCCCTTCATTACGCCTTTTAACATCAATATCAAAACATAAACAAAAAATATTCTAACCTCTTGATCTAATTACTTACCGTACAATTTTCACCATACATCTTAATTGATTAATTACAGCTCTATTTTTATTTCAATTTATGAATCAAAATTCTATCCATATTTCTTAATCTCTAGACCCCTTCATCAAATCTTTAAATCTTAAACTTTATCTGTTTACCTTTAGTTTTACATATTTCATATTACACAAATTTATCTCAAAATCTATATCCTCCTCCATATCTCCTCCTGTTGTTTGGCTGATTTCCAGCATATTATTGTTTTGGCTGATTTACAGCATATTATCCTCCATACCTCCAGCTTTTGTTTGGCTGATTTCCATCATGCTTTATTTTGGCTGATTTCCAGCATAATCACCTCCATACCTCCACTTGTTGTTGGCTGATTTCCAGCATATTGTGTTTTGACTGATTTCCAGCATAATCTCCTCCAAAACTCCCACTATCGTTTTGCTGATTTCCAGCATCTTCTCTTCCATTTCTCCTTCTCTTATTTGGCTGGTATTACCAGCATGCTTTCCTCCATGCCTACATCTATTATTTTAGCTGTTTTATTTTAACTAATTCACAACTTATTACGAAAATTGCTTTTTCAACACATTCTCCCACAATTTTTAACTCAACATAAATTTTAACAGATATCTTCTCACATATTTTCTCCTGGATTATAAATTTCCTTTAAAATCATCTCTCTTCATATTTATTTTAAAACTCAAAAATTCATTTAATATTTATATACTTATATAGTCAAATTCAATAGAAATGGAAGTAGAAAGAGAAAAAACGAAAAATAATAATTGTAATAAAAATAAATAAAAAAGGAAACAGAGAGAGAGAGAGAAGAAAAAATAAAGATGTAGCAAAAAGAAAAGAAAAAGCATAAGAGAAAAGAAAAAGGAAAAAGGAAAAAGAGGGGGGAAAGGGGGGGAGGAGAAAGGAAACACCTGACTATATTCAAACTTCAAATAAACAGAAAGCGTTACATCCATTTTAATCAAACTGTATTTTTCTTATCTTGCTACCCAGTATATTCCATTTTTTTCTTTCTCCAAACTATCCAAAAATGTTTCTTTTCAATTTCAATATTTATCAAAATTATAAGCTCTGTAAGGTTTAGTTCTTTTGTAGTATGTCAACTTGCAAAGCTTTCAAGTTGCCATGAGCAGGAGGGAGAACTGAAGTGAATTCCATACATTCTGCCTGACCACAATCAGAAGGAGGGTGTTAGGTTTCACAGCCAGCCAAAGTGGTTAATTGTAGAATGTGATTTATGACATGGCCAGAGAGGAGGGGAGAGACAGGGTCATAGGGGAATGTAAATCTATGTGGGATCAGTCCTAACTGCATCCGAGTATTGCCGGAATGTTGCTCCTAATAAATGACTGTATTTCCTTTGAAGTTTGGATCATGGCTCATGAATTAATTACGTCATCTTTCGGAAACTTGACATAGTAATTATTCCATATATGGTATCATCATCTCTTCTTCTGTTGCCACGCCTTTTCCTTTTGTTGCTGTGCTCATTAATTAATTAATTAATTTTAATTGTTCCATTCCACTTTTTATCTCCAACCCACAATAAGTTCTCCAATAGACAGATTGGATATCTCCAGAATCAAGCCTCCTTAGTTTTTCCCAAAATAATCCAGTTTAAGTAACAAGACACAAAGTTTCTCCTTCCAGTCGCTAGCAATCCACAATTTATCACTTTCACTTCATCACAGCTAGTATCCATTTTGTCTATCGCCACTTGTCTTTTCTCCTTGCTTTAAAAAGTTCCTGTTTACCTCTTCTCCCTTTTTCTCTCTTCAAGAGTACTCCATTCTCATTAAGAAAAGAAAAAGTGCCAATTTTTTTTATATTTCCAAGAAAACGATCCTTCCAAAGCAGTCAATGATTACTATAATCCATTAACAAGTCTTTTCCTCTTATTGTTTATTTTGCAAAGTCCTTTTGCCCAGGTAGTTTATAGCCGTTAATTAAGGCTAGGGCACACTTGTTATAAATCAACACTTGAAAGCTGCTCCCGCCAGGGTTAAATCTCACTCACCCGGCATTCGTGTACATCACTCTGTTTCTCCACTTCTTCCTCCTGCACATCGCTTTTCCCAGTTGTCACAGCCTCGAGGCAACCACCATGGCTGTCGCTCACCCACCGCCAACGCAGAGGGCAATCCTCTGGCCCCAAGGAACCTGCCCATTCCTCTTGGCCATCCAAGGGGTCCCACTCTTACCCCCTGTCCCTACAGGACAGGGTAGGTCCGCAGACCTGCTAGTGGCAGCTTGACAGACGGGGTTTTCACGGGGCTCCTTAGAGCCCCGCTATTTCCCCGTCTGGATCGCCGCAACGCCAACCGGAGGTCATCTGAGCAGGGACTTAGTACTAATCATCCACAGACAAATGGGGCCATGGAATGAATGAACTCAGTTCTCGAACAGTACCTGCACTGTTTTATTAATTACCAGCAGGATAACTGGACTGAACGACTGCCTTTTGCAGAAGTAGCCTATAATAATGCAGTTCATGCTAGCACAGGTTTTACCTCTTTCAGACTGGCCACAGGGCCAGTCTGAAAGGGCTAGATATCACAGTGTGGCTGGCTGGTTCTCATAACAAAATAAACAGAAATGATTGGTGGATGAAATGGACTGTGGGTGGCCCATGGGGAAAGGGGAATGAAATATGGTGCTTTTCCACAGGAAGCCAGAGCTAGTTTCACTTCTTCTGTGCCAATGTGGATTTTTCACTAAAGTTTATACTCTTGGTAAAATAATGTCCCAAGTAAAAGGAGAGGAGAATTTACTGCTTTTTGTTTTCTTTCAGCACCCAGCCAGTGTGGATTCTACATGTTAAATGTTAAATTCAATAGCCAGATTCAATATAGGAGGAAAAGAACTTCATATCATGTTTAACTTTATAAAACATGGCACAAAAACACTAAGATTCTAATCTAAATAACAAGAAATCCCAGAGTGTTTTAAGGTGGAGAAGCTAAAATCATAATACAATCATATATACATTGCTTAAGCTAAATGACCATGTCTACTTAAATTTGGAAAAAGGATTTCAAGAAAAAAACATACCTTGAAAAAACCATGAGCGCTATTCCTTTGTCCCAACCAAAATGTAGTGCCAACTGGTAAATCCATATATGGTTTTTCCACCACTCTCTCATATATTCTGATTTTAAAAAAGAAAGGAGGAGTAAAATACATTTTAGAAGTCCTTTTCTTTCAATTCCTACAAATTACTGGTACAAATTGTAACTTTTAACTTACTTATTGCAGTTTACATGCAAAATCAAATGTGATGCACTGATTGCTAAGGACAGCCTGTGCCACTTGTCATCTGCCAAACTGTAAGGAAATATTTCTGTATGTGAACGATGGTTTTCTGAACGATAGTGCAATCTAATTTCATTTCTATGGCCGCTGCTTTCTAGTTCCAAATACCTGCATCAGAAATGGACCAGAAAGTTATGAAGCAATTTAACACCAAATAAATAGAAAACATACTTCTTTGCATACAAACTAAAAATGGACTAAAAATTCATAAAAAGTAAATGCTACATAGTTAGATTTTTCTCCTAAATTGTTTCAGTATGGTAAAGAATAAATCAAATTTAAAATTATATCAAAAATTAAACATATACAAGTAATCCTTGACTTACGACTACAATTGAGGCCAAAATTTCTATTCTTAAATGAGACATTTGTTAAGTGAATTTTGCCCCATTTTACAACCTTTCTTGCTATTGTTGTTAAGTGAATCAGTGCAGTTGGTATGTTAGTAGCCTGGTTGTTAAGTGACTCTGACTTCCCCATTGACTTTGCATGTCAGGAGGTCGCAAAAGGTGTTCACATGACTCTGGGACACAGCAACAATCATAAACATGAGCCAAGCATATGAATTTTGATCACATGATCATGGGGTTGCTGCAAAGGTCGTAACCTTGAAAAACGGTCATAAGTCACACTTTTTAGTGCTGTTGTCACTAAAGAAATCTTTCTCAAATGTCCTCAGGTCTTCTTTAGTTGTCTACTTTTTTTGTAGGTAGACTTCTACAACTTTGGGGAATGATCACTCTTTCAAAACTAAAAGCCCTATTTTATCTACTCTCACAGTCCTCAATAAATGTATTAGAAATAAATCTAATTTGCTTCAATAAAATTTGATATGCATAGGATTACTGCCCAAGTTAATGGCCATCATATCTTTCAGATTTATTTTAGGCTTCTCTAAGTTGGGAAAATTAGACTTCTTGGAGATGAGCTCAACTAGGTGTTATCCTAGCCAAGCATTTATTTATTTATTTATTTTGCCTTTGCTTTATTCCAAAACTATTTTTTCAATGCTTAATCCTGCTTCTTTTTTCCAAGGTCTCCCTTGTTATGTATGAAGTAGGTTTGAGACTATTTTTTTATGTCAGTTTGAATATATCATGAATACATAAATGTCAAGTAATGTATATTTTTCTGCATACCTGTGATCTAAATGATGAATAGAAAAAATAACACCTGAATTTAAGAGAGTTTGTTTGAGAGATACCAACATGGTAAATTCATGTTTATTTCTCAGTTTCTGGAAAGAAAGTTCAGCTTTCTCTGGAGATACTTTTATATTTCTTGCAGTTCCTGAAATGAAGCACAAACACAAAAAATATTCTAATTCATAAGCAAATTAGGCACAGAACCATCTTTACATTTCATTAGGATAAAAAAATTTGATTAGTCAAATACAAAAAACTTTCATTATTCATAACAACTATTCATAACTATTTCATTATTCACTATTCAACAACTATTTCATTATGTATTTCAGTGTGGAATCAAAATATTCATCCTCATCACTGAAATGCTATTTTTTAAAATTATGTTTAAACATTTATAGTTGTTTTTTTTTTACATATCAATATGTTGTTTTCAATTTCGAGCACAAAAATGATTCCATTTATTAGAATCATGTCTTTCTATAAATTTTCATCAAGGAGAGAAAATTAGTTTTTAATTCAGTTTAGGATCTTTAAACTGTTTGTTTTTGTAACACTATTGTATTAATTTTTAAATTACATTTAATTTCATTAGTATTTTGGTTTGCTAATTTCTTATTTTGTTACATAATATCAGTGTGAATAAATTATGGAGCAATTCAAATGTAATCACTTTAGTATTCATTCTTTTACCAATCATAAACTAAAACTATAAAGTATTACATATTTGTATTCTGTAAAATGTACACCAAAGTCTAAAAATAAATACAGTTTGTTCACCAAAGTTGGCAAAGGACAAAGAAAAATATTCAGGAAAACATGTATCTTACCCAAAGGTTAAAACACACTGCAGCTGTTTACAAAATACTGTGGCATTTACTCTTTGCAAGGAAGAGGTTGTAGAAAAAAAAATGCCTTTAAAAGCCTCTGGCGATCCCAGCTGAGTTGCCTGATCGTCAGAGGCTCCTGAAAGCATTTTTTTCTGCAACCTCTTAAGGTTGTAGAAAAAATGCTTTAAAAAAAAAAAAGTTGGCCATACCCACTCAGTCACATTACCCCGTCATGAGTGTTTCCAGGATTGCTGTGGCTATCTGCCTACTCACAAACAGTATGGTTTTAATCAAGCCATCTGCTGTTGGCAATTACCTGCAAGCCTTCCCCGCCCTAGTTAATTGCAGGTTGACTCCCTATATAAGCAAGGACCTTTTGCTTGCTACCTGGGCCTAGTCTGATCTAGGCCTAAATGCACAGCTCCTGCAGGAAGCTTGTTGCAACGCCGCAGATGGGAGAAGAATGCAGATAAGGACTCCAGACGCCGCTACAGAGAGACTCCCACGGATGCTTGCCTTTTGCTGTTTTGTAGCATGCAAGCTATCATTGGGACTGCTGTTGCTGGACCTTCTTCCTCCCACAAGCTTCAAGCAATGTTTGCTGTTTGAACTGTTTTTACTTCAGGTGACTTTCAGCTGTGAAGCTCGTGCTGCTCCCACTATGATGGCCTTGATGATGTATCGACGCCGAAGCTGCTTACCTTCATGCTAGCTTTATTCTTTTGTGAACTGCTTTGGTATTGTGGAGAGGGATCTAGGGAGATAGCCTTGTTTCACATACCCAGATAAGACTTTGTTTTTAATGTGTTTTCTTAAAGACATAGTGCCTTTTAAATGTTTTAAAGTAAATTATATTTTTACACAAGACGCCTCTGTCAGAATCATTTCAGTCTCAGTGCATTTACTCATGAGCTGGTTCACGGTCCGGGGTACCCCTCAACCCCATTTCGTCACACTTGGTAGCAGAGGATGGTTTAACGAACTTACGCTCATGTGGTAACGCGCTAGACTGGAATGTCTGCAGTTGAATAGATGTTGACTAGGGCAGCAGCAGCAGCACAAAGTATGAAGTCACAAACTGGACTGTCTGGGGCTCAGGCCAAAAATGTTTTGGCTGAAAAACCCCAAACTCTAATTGACTTAGAGAATAGTGGAGCTATAAGTTTTGGAGTAGAGGCCTCAACTCCTGAAGGGCCTAAGATAGTGAATAAACCATCATCACCAAAAGAGGTAGAGACTGGAAGAACGCCACTTCAGGTCTTGAAAACAAATACAGAGGTGGATGATGAGTTTAGGAAGGCAATCCTTCAGTTTTTAGGTTTGCCCACAGTAAGTCAGAACCCGACTGCTGATTCTAGTGAATTATTAAAGAATTCAGCTGTGAAAGGAAAGAAGATCGAAGTCCTACAAAACACCGGATCGGTAAGAGACTTTCAATCTTTTCCTAAAACCCCCACCTCAGACCATAAGTGGGTAATGGGGGATAACAGACTGCCTGATTCAAATGTTCCTGCTTCTTTGTTAAACCAGCATGGCCAAGTTGACATTGCGCCACCTGCTGTTGAAGCCATCATAGATCAGGCTATAAAGACTTTAGCTCCCTTGATGACATCAGTGACTTCTGCTAAAAATTTAAGAGACTCCCATGTTGAGCGTAAGGTTGCAAGTGTGATAGAAACTTTGGCAACCATTTTAGGCGATGGTTTGCAGGCACCATCGGCTCAACGAATAGGAGCTGCGCATCCCAAAGCCCCCCTGATGTCTGCGACTAATTCAGCGCACGCCACGAGTGGGATATATCCATCCGTGACGACATCGACATCCAGGACGGTTCCGGAGGCTACCTCAACTGAAGATAGGAATTTGGGAGCGCGTCCAAAAATTCCTAGAGATGTGCACCAGAGAGGACCCTCGAGTTTTTGTGATCAAGCCAGGATGAGTTTTGCATCCGCACAACGTGAAGTTTTAATCCCTCCCATTGGGGAGGAACGATCGTCAGAATGCCAGATGGAAGACACTGTGCTGTGTGCTTCCATTCCAATGCCTTATTGCCCGTTCCAGGACGGACCACATTTTGAACATCAATTAATGTCTATTTCCATGTTTAATAATGTACAGGCCCTTCCTCCTAATTTTAAAAGTTTAAGTGTGGGTGGAGGAAATTTTAAGGAATGGGTTAAAAGTATTCAAGTAATTTTAATGAAAGAAAATGCTTTATCGTTGCTGTTAAAACCCCCACCTAGACCATGGTCCTTAGAAGTTGATATTTTACACCATAAGGCCTTTTGTATTTTATTGATGTCCATTAACCCTGCACTATATCCCAATATACCTAGTAACCTGACCGTAACAGAAGTTTGGGTGAAACTACATAAGCTATTTTGTTCAAAAAGCTCCCATGTTACAAACAGAGTTTATAGGGAGTTCTATTCCGCAAAGTTGAAGGCGGGAGTAGATATTAATGAACACTTATGTGAGTTAAACAGGTTAAGGCAGGAATTGATGTTGAGGGGGGAAACAGTGTCTGAACAAACCCTCATTACTGTTATACTCAATTCCCTTGACCCTAGCTGGGATAATTTTATATCGCAACTGGATAATGTTAGTTGTAATAACTTATCTTTAGAAGTGTTATCTGGCAGACTGATTGCTGAAGATAACTTGCGAAAATGCAGGGCGGCTTTTCACAAAAAGGAAAAACCTTTAAGAAAGCCCGATAGTTCAGATAGAGCATATACTATCGGAGAATGCTTCAATTGTGGTTCAAGAGAACATTATAGAAGGGATTGCCCACAAAATGTGAATGCTAGGGCATGTTCAAAGGCACCTTCTAATAATAAATGTAAAAGGAGGCCATTGCCTCCTGGTAGAAAGCCAAGTATAGATGTTCCTAACCACAGAAGGGGTAAAAAGCCAAATGGAGGCAACGAAGGGAACAATCCCAGGTTTAATGATAGCTCTGTAGGTATAGTGGAAACTACTGAGTCAGAGCTTACAAGGGAACAGCGAGAACAACTATGGTTAATGGACAGTGGAGCCAGTAACCATGTTGTCAGTGACCGAAGGTTGTTTGCTAATATGAGAAGGCATCAATCCATGGTCAAAGTTGCAAACGGTAAAAAGGTGAATGTTGTTGGCATTGGAGATGTTTATATCCCTGGGATAGGGAAGATTCACGGAGCATTGTATGTACCAGAGATAGATCATAATCTGCTAAGCCTGATGAGGATATCTGAGAACCCTAGAGTGGAGATTCTGTTCTCAGGAGGAACAGCTGTGATCAAAAACAACAAATGTGTGATTGGGGAGGTTTTGAAGATAGGTGGCTTGCCTTATTATTCCCCCAATACGAATGCTGAGTCCTGCAGTGATAGCAATTATGCTATCTCATTTGGTAGTAACAATGAATCACAGTTAGAACTAGGTGATGAGGATCAAGACTTTCACCAGAGGAAGCCTTGTAAAAACAAATGTAAAGTTAATAAAAAGTTTTTAAATTTTAACTTAGAGTCAGATAGTAGGAAACCTGAAAATGCTAATGCAATTGCTACAGGTGAGCCGTTGCATAATGAATGTGCTCACTTGATGCATCGTAGATTAGGTCATGTGAGTTTTCCTATAGTAAAGAAGGTAACCGAACACTCAAGGGGAACCAAGATCAATGACTGTAACACATTCCTAGACTGTTCAATTTGTAGGAGTGCAAAGTTGAAGGCGAAATCTGCGCCCGAGAAGTCTCAGAGGTACTCTGAACACCCGTTTCAGCTCGTCCACATGGATTTGGTGGGTCCATTCGCACCTTCCGTGGGTAAGAGACGGTACTTTCTTACCATAGTAGACGACCATAGCAGATTTGGATTCGTTTTTCCCCTAATGTCCAAGAGTGAAACGTTGACTAAGTTTAAGGAATTTTGTAACTTAGTCCAGAACCAGCACCAGGTCAGAGTTAAGAAGATCTTAACCGACAGAGGAACTGAATTTAATTCCAGGCAGTTCTCCAGCTGGTTGAGGAGTAAGGGTATAGCCCACTTACGCACCGCGCCTTACTCTTAAGTTTCAAAATGGCGTTGCAGAACAGCGCAGCGATGTATTACAAACTATGATGCGGTGCGCCCTAGAGGATTCCGGACTAGACTTCGCGTACTGGTAGAAGCAGTTAGATACGCGAATTACACCTTGAACCGAGTGTGGTCTAGTGTAGTGCAGAAGACCCCATACGAGGTGCTATACGGCCATAAGCCTAGCTTGGCACACCTCCACGTTTTCGGGGTGATGGCCCATGTTCATGTCCCGAAGGAGCTCAGGAGAAAGGGAG